GGCTAAGAGACGACCCTTGTGGGTAGTGAGACTGGTTGCTTTTTTTTCATTTTTCATTTTATTTATAAAGACCTGGGAAGAGAACAGAGGCGGAACTTTTTGAAGCATGATTTTCTTCCTTAGCTATCAGAACAGTCCTTCCACTTACAACCATGCTTTATAATAGATTTCCAGATCTTGTAAAGAAAAAGATAAAGTAAATTTCTGCTGCACAGCTTCTGTCCTCATTCATCACTAACGGGTAATCCCTCTGACCTGTACAGTTTAGAATCAATTCAGTGTTGTTGCTGGAAGTTCCAGTAACTAAGCCCCACCATGCGACTCAGGCCACCAAAATTCTGTCTCTGGCAGCAGAACAAGTTGGCAGTTCAGTTTTGTTTCATAACTTCAACTTTTATTCATTTTCATGCAGTAGCAACTTCATTTCAGCTTCTAGCTCCTCCCACTCTCTCTCCTGAGCTGAAGGATCACTGGAGCATTGATGCTCTATCCCTCTGGTTCCTCCAGTGCAGCAGCACCCTCTTAGCAAGTTCCCTCTGCCCCCATCACCAGTAGCAAAGAAACCCTGCACTCATTGAACCAAGTCTAAGAGATGCAATATTTGTAAGGCGTTTTTTCAGGATGAGCCATGCCCTGCTGCTACAAGACACTGACCCTCACTCTGCCAGGGCATGGTGCTTTTAATCAGATTGGCATGCCCTCCCCTCTCTCCCTCCTTGTACCACCCCCAAACCACAACTCTCCTGTGGGAAGGCTCATTGAGGAGCATGAGGTTTTCCAAGGAGAGGAGAACCCTCCCAGGCTGCTCAGGAATAAACCCTGCAAATCCCAGAAGCTTCAGATCCAAAAATAAAAAAGCAAGCGTAGTCCTTGTAAGGCATCATTTCATTTTGTTAATGAGCAAGTGGAGTAAATATCATGGTTTAAACCCATTCTTCTTTGCCTTTACACCCAGATGTAGAGTTTGCTGGGACTTTTCTGTTCTCTGTAAAGTTCCTTCACTATGCTTGGTATTAGTCCCATCTTCACCCTGCAGCATATGTAGACATGCAGAAAAGCCTGTTACTCCTGTGAAGCCCTACCTCAGGCTGCAACATAATAGGTATTGTGCTTTCTAGCTTTTAGCCCATGAGCCCTGACTCTCCCAAGGAAAGGGACTCAGATTTCAGACAGCAATGGAATAAAAATTGTGCCTGTTTCTTGTTTACTGCCTGTAGACCCTCACTTTGATAGGGAAAGGGAATCAGAATCTGAAGAGTAGCAAGAGGTGTCTCTCTGCCCCTCCCCATCTTCATGAGCTGGCTCCACATTAGATTAGTAGAAGCACTTTAGGTAGTCTGTACCTACAGCAGAGGCATGTTCCATATGCAGCTACACCATCATAGGATTACAGGGACGTAAGAGATAAATCCCTTCCCATGTTCAAACTGGCTCCTGTTTTTCTGAGTAAAGCCTTGATTGGTATTAGGTTTCTTCTGAAGTACTCAGATATCTGCTGGCCACCCTGGGGAAGCAAGGAGGTGTCCTTTCAGGCTCCTTGGTCTTTCTAACAGATTATTCCCACAATCAAGGTATTTGACCCAAAAAACCCCTGCATGACTGTCACAGGACAGGAAACCACTTGCACGCAAGGAGTTCATCAATATTAATTATAATAAAATATCTATTTCCCCCTTCAATCATTATTCGGTACAGGGTTTTCCACATGTACCATCTTTGAGGACATAGTAATATCCAAATGGGGACTTTTAGTTTAACATTTGGTTTTAGCCAAAATGTTATATTACAAAAAAATAGAAATTGCATAAGTTTTAGGAGCCTAACATTGGAAGAAGAGTAGCCCCACTAATGAAAAGATGTCACCCCTCAGAAAGAGGACTTCCATGCAAAAAATCCCATAAACTATAAGGGTGAGGAAGACCTCATAAAAATTTCAAAGCCTAAATTGTAGCCATTCAGACCAAAAATATTCCCTGTACTTAGTAAGGAACATCTGTTTGGTGGCAAGCAAGTGGTTTGTTGTCTGGGGTAGGATCCTTGCTTTCAGTGTGATAGTTTTCAGGTTCACATTCTGGTCAGATCCTTGTAGCATGCAGACTATTCTTTTTTTTTTTTTTTTCCTGAGTTTTGAAGTCACTGACAGTGGTCATCCTTGCAAGTTATCTCTAGCAGCTAGGATTGCTGGCATTATGCATTGATATCATTCCCTGAGCAGGACTTCACAGAATGTTCCTCCAAAAAGTCCTTTTGAGAGCATGGAACCACTTGTTGTATGCAATACAAAAATAAGCATCATTAACAGTACATATCTGAATGTCCCCTTTTAGGCAGGTAAATACAGACAATATGCTGAAAGCCAACCCAGTTTTCACTCTGAGCCTTTGCATGCTCATTGTGGAAACAAGCCACACAAAGTGGGGAGCGTACATGGAAGCTTAGATGATCTTGGGGTTATGATCCCTGACTTAGAAAAAGGGAAGCATCCAGCTCTCTCTCCAGCTCTGACCCTCTGCTATACAAATGTCCAAAATCTCAATCTACTGCATCGTTTTACTTCATTTTGATAGCTCTATCAATTGCATGCTGAGCAAAAATATAAGAATACCCATACAAGATTGACTACGGAGGTACATTGAGTCCAGTGTTCTGTCTGACAGTAGCCAGAGTAGCAGCTGCTTCAGAAGAAAGTGCATCAAACCCTGTAGTGGGTTTTATGGAATAACTTTCCCACAGGGCCTGAATCCCTTCCGAAATCAGTGAACAACCAGAAGTCAGACCTTTTCTGAGGTAATGGAAATAATGCCCAAGGCAGAGAAGAATCTGCTGTCTTTAAACATAGAGAGATGAAGTCTCCTCCTTCTAGACCACCACTTGCCTAAAAGGCAGTTGTTTGGACTTGCTAGGCAGCCAAAGAACCTCCATTGCATGTGTAGCAAAAGACCAGACCTCTTAAAGCAAGGATCTGTTCTTTGTCCAGACCTGGTCCACTCACAGTTAACAGCCTGGGTGTTGAGGAAAAATGTAGTTCAGCATTTCTCCATTAACCTCATTGATACATTTTGGACTCAAGACAGAACTCAACTAGGAAAAGGCATTGGTCTTGTCAAATTCAGTTTCTGGTATGAGGACAAACAATTTCTTTGGGGCAGGGATGGTCTCTGTTATATTTTTACAGTGCCCAGAACAACTGGAACCAGCCTGTAGATGTTTCTGTTACACAGATTTAATAATCACAAAGTTTACCACATCAGAGACACTAGAGTTTCCCCAGGATAGTTGGTCTCACCAGAGAAAAGTAGGTAACAGCCCTACCAGCATTCTTTATGCAGGTATATTGCAGTCTCCAACTGATGTTGAGATTAAACAATAACAGATTAGACAAGTCTGTGGGTGGCCTTTCTAGTTGCCATCACAAAAACCCATACTCCTTTTGTCATGGAAAAAAGATTATTCTTATAGCTCCAGAAATCTTTCTGCCCAAGGTAGGTTCCTCTTACCACAATTCCTGGGAAATAGCTCTCATATGATTTTGTTCCAGTCCTCAGCACTTCTTTGGCACAAATAGGCATTCCTAGAGCTCCAAAGATATATCTCAAGCATTTTTATGGGAAGAAAGTGTCTGAGCCTTACCTGAGGAAGAAAGTCAAAGGTTTCCATTCCTCTGCAGGAGGCATCCTTTGGTAGGAAGTTGCTATTGTGTTCCCAAATAGTTCCTTAAATTACAGAGCTTTTGCTTTATATTGGGAGGCACAGTTTAATTTTTGCTTATTCTACTATAATAATTCTACTATAATACTACTCTTGCTTATCTACCCCACACCTGCCCTCCACACTTCTGTGAATCATTCATTGTTCACTAATTCCCATTTGTTATGAATGAGGGGAGAACCTATACAGCAGTATGAGAAATTTCTTATCTGATCATTTTTTTTGATAATAGCTTCCATCTTCATTCAACCACCTTGGAAGTCTGGTAAATGACTAAAACACAATTTGTAACAAAGTGAATATTTTCTCTAAAGGGAGACTTAGAAATTATATTAACAGGCAATTACATTTTCAGTTGTTGTCTTAATGCTAATAATCAGATCCTGGAATGTTTCTGTAGCTTTGGAAAAACTCTTCTGGTAGCCTGAGTTGAACCCTGGGGCTTAGTCTTTGTGCCTTGTTGGACTACCTGCAAATTCCACAGGAGAGAGGCATTACCCATTTGTTATGAATGAGAAGAGACATTCCTAACAGAAATGTATTACTGAAAATTCTCTCATTCATCTCTCTACTCTCCATTATTACTGCTAATATGAAACACAGTAGAGTATATAGGCTGCAAACTTTGCTAGGCATTTGTGCATACACACAACAAAAACAGTTTTTGTCCTAAAGAACTTCCAGTTTAATCTATCTCCAGTTTGCAAGCTCACCCATCCCATAAATGGGTGTCACGGTGAATAAATGCTTCTGTTTTTTTCTCCCACACATCTAAAAATTATCTACCCATTCCTTCAGCTTGGTTCTCTTTACCTTAGTACTATACTTCCCCCAATCTCCTGCATAATTCAGCTATGGTTTTGCTACTTATGATTAATCCACACCTCCCAAACTTGCCAGTAATAGCACACACACAACACCCCGTTGTCATGCATTGTGGATGTGGCTTTAACATATTGTTCCAAAATGACTGAGTTCTGCAGCATGTTGTTTTTTTCTGATTCAGATAAGCTTCTTTTAAACAAAATCCTAAAGTATTTTGGAGCAAGGGACAGCTGGAAAATATATATTTGATGCACAAAACCATACAGGGATTCATATCTTTTCTATGGCTTTTTTTTATTTACCACCGAAGAAGAAATGTATCCATTTATTATACGATGTATTTATGAGGCTATATATATAAAAGAAAAAATATTCTCGGTTGATGGTTTGACATGTTTCTCTCACCAGTTTTGTCTGCATGTAAATTTGTGGTTGATACTGATTGGTTTTGGTTTAATATTAAACAGGAAGCAAGCAGCATTGTGGATCCAAGGAGACTTCTACCGATCCAAACAGAAACAACAATCAGTTGATGATGGACCTGTGAATAAAATTCTTTCTGGCTTGGATGACCTTTCAATCAGTGGGAGTTTTAGTAAAGTACAAAATTTGGATCAATGTGTGGAGGTAAGCATTCACTGGAAGAATCATACACCAACAGGGAGAGCTCATAACTTTTAATAATGAACTATACCCAATTTAATGTTTTTCCCCCCATAATATAGTGCCTGTTATAAAAATCACATATGAATGCAAGAAGAAAATAGATCCTTTTAAGCATATACATATTAAATGAAGACAGTAAAAATAAAAAGAATGAAGAATGTCCTCGGTGTATACTAATAATAATGAAAAAGAAGAGCAGAAAACAGCCAAAATGATAAAACAACCATCAGTGATGGAAAAAAGTAGAATTTAAAATGAATGTAGATTCTGAGGAAAAAAATGTTTGAAAAATGAATATTTGTGATAAACAATACAAAAATAAAACTTAAAGCTTATTTGTTATCTATTTCAAAAAGTAAATTCAAGGTTAGCATCTTGATAGGACAGGATGAGAATAGCTATATTGGTAAATATGTTGGCTGAAAGAATATGGTAGCTACCTGATATTTAGTATTTTGAGGAAAGAAAAACAGCTAAACAAAATAACCAAACCCTGGCCACTGCCCACTGAAATGAGAGATGGCATGCCTTGTGCGACTCTTTGGCAACTCCATTGATTCAGTCATCCTGGTTTTCCAGCCAGTTCTATTGAAACCTAGAATTTGTTCCGGTTTCAATATACCGGTAATTCTAGATTTATCCTGTGTCCTAGGCCGTCCCAATAGTGCTTTTTGCTGCAAGGTAGCACTTCATTGCCTCCCCCAATCACTTGAGTAGCTGAAGTTCTCATCTCCACTGGCTGATTTTCAAGTACTTAGCAAGAAGTGTAAGTGAATCTCCTCTGTGATGAGAATCACAAAAAGTACACAGAGCGGTGGAGACATTTCCTCTTTGGTCAGCTATCCTTAGTGTAGCAAAATAGGCATTAAACATCTCAGTCTTCTTGATGTCATCAGTTATAAGCTCTCCTTCCAGCTAAACAGAGGACCTACACTTTCCCTCTTATTTCTCTAGCTCCTAGTGTATTTATAGAACCTCTTTTCCTTGCCTTTTATGTCCCTTATTTGGTTTAAATCATTTTGTCCCTTAGCCTTTCTGATTTTGTCCCTACGTGCTTGTGCTAGTCATTTGTTCTCCTTAGCAATTTATTCATTTCCACTTTTTGTAGGATTCCTTTTTGATTTTTCAGGTCATTACATTGCTCCTAATCTTTGCTATTCTTCCTGTCTTTCCTTTGTATCGGGATAGTTTGCTGCTGCACCTTTAATATTGTCTCTTTCAGAAACTGTCAGCTCTCCTGAGCTCCTTTTTGTCTTTTGAGAATGGGTCACTCTGAGTATACAACAATGATACTGTATTCTATTCTGGCAACTATTTGTGTCCAATTGTAATTCAGTTTGTTGCTTAGGATCTGTGAAGATCCTAAATGTCTAGTTTTCTGGGACAGTGCATTTCTTGCTTTCTGCTGCAGCTTTTAGGATCAACTGGGTTGATGTTGTAGTCTGCTAACTGGAACTGATTGTGTTGTAAGACCATTCTAAATTGAGGGCTTTTTTTGCTGGAGGAATTCATTCAGTGTTTGCTGTCCTTTTGGGAGTAGTTTCAGGACCTACTTGTTCACACAGGCCTTTGATCAACCATCTTGGCAAGTTCATAGTTTAAACTCTCTGACTGTTTGTGTATTGGAGTCTTGTTACAGAGTTCATATGCTAAGAAATGATCACATCATTAAAATGAAAAAATTGGTAAAATACTGCCCCCATCGCAGTTTTTCATCTTTGCTAACCTCCAGCACTTTGTTTCTGATGGTTGTGACTTCATCCGGTTAAAGAATAAAGACCTAGAAATGGAAAGAGCTTATGATTGTCTCAAATTTTGTTTGCAGATGTTGCAGACATTCACTTTTAACAGATATTGTTTATAATTTTTTTCAGAAAAAATCTTTGCCAGTTTCTTTACTAGCTCATCTTAATCGATGCAGACATGGAAGCAATGAGACACATGCCAGAGTATGGTTACATGCAGAGGCCACAGCTTTATTAAACTATTAACCAATGAGGAAGCACTCCTCGAAATACCCAACTGGGCTGTTCCAGAGTCAAATTTAACTGGGCACCAGTGACCCCGGGTTTTACAAACCTGAAGATGGAGATTATGGCAATGCCCCCTTTATACCTTCAGGCCTGCCCAGGGACCCAGTATGAAGCCAGAATCACATTCCATTTCCCTCATCCATACTGGAGGTAGGAAAGATGAGAGATGGGGAGCCCCACGCTGTATGAGACATGGAAGCAGGTATACCGCTTCGTGCAGTGTGATACTTGGGGCCTGTACCCAAGCAGCCCATTGGGTTACTGGGACCTTGCATTGGGTCTTTTTCTTAACCCAGTCACAGTACTGGAATCCACCAGAATTGCAACAAGTGTAATGTAAACTAGACTCTGGGATGTTGTATGGAAGGTGAAATGGTCTACATAGCAATTTACCAATTTTTGCTATGTGAGACACATCCCTTCCAGACCCCAAATAAAATTTGGTGATCAGCATAGCCCTCAGCATCATAAGAGGTATACCATGTCATATAAGGTGGGAAGGGGTGGCATTGAAACAAAGCAAAAATGGCTACCAGCCAGCAAATGGGCAGAAACAAATCCCTCCATTTTTTTCTCCCTAGTCCTTGCAGGTAGTAACCAATCAATGACCCCAGTCATCTATAGCAGCTGGAGCACGTGGGACAGCATAGAGCCCAGACTTGGTTCGAAATCAGGTGGTTTGGATCTTAGACACCAAAGCATTAACCCTATCACCTGCGTTATCCACAGAATAGTTGAAGTTCTTCAGTATTTCCTTTATGTAAATTATTTCTTTTTTGAAATAATTATAAAAGGAATATCGATTCCTGCTTTGCTTAGCCAGATTTCTGTTTTACAGTGTTCCATTTTCAACCTTTTTTTCAGAGATTTTAAATTTTGATGTAAAAACAAAATAAAATTCTAAATCAAATTATGTAGGTGGTGTTTTGGATGGAAGGAATTTTAACTTCTATATTAAATTAGAAAAAAAATGTATTTGGATATTTTTGAGTTGTAAGAGTTATTTCTAAACAATAAAGAGAATTTATTTTGGGGGTGCTTTTGTTTTTTCTGTAATGTAAATTGGTTTAGGTTTCTATAAAAGCTTGGTTATGATGGTACATAATTAAGTTGCTTTTTTACTGTATTTTTAAGGAGTTAAATTACTGAAGTTTAAGATCAGGTAATTTAGATTCCTCTCCCTCTCCCTCTCCTCCCCCCCCCAAATAAATCTTTATAAAAATTCTTGCAGTGTTAGATTAAAATTGCTTCAAAAGCCATGCATTTATCTGGCTAAGGACCATTAAAAATAGAAACTGTGTCTAAGTAGCCATTCAGCATAATGTAGTCAGTCCAATTTAAATGGAAGATCACATGGTAAGTCTGGTATTCTTCATGAAAGCTGTATTCAGAGAACAGGGAGAAGAGGCATTGATCTGCGGTGAAGCTGGACATGTGCTGTTTGTATGACTGCTGTTACCAAGTTCTTTTGAAAATCATAATTATTGATTGTCTCTGCCACAACTTTAGAATAGAGCGAACTCTCTGGGAACTTGGAACCATCCACACTTTTTCGTCTCTTGTTTAGTTTAATGTCACCTCGTTATTATAGTGTGAAATTTCCATGTTTTTTTCCTATTAAAATTGTAGCTTAAGGCACTTTAATCTTTACTTCCTTTGCTTTTCCTATTATGCTATTTACCAAAAGTTTTTTTGTATCATACTTTTTATTTTGTGGGAAATACATAACCCGAGCTATACAGAGGATCTTGAGTCCGAAATGCCCTAACCTGTACTACTTTTTTTTTTTATTAAATTCAGAGTTCAGAGGAAGATAATCTGTAGCTTCTTAGATTCCTCAGTATGGATGTGATCCTGCTCCCACTGAAGTCAATGGCAAAACTCCTTTGATTCATTGGGGCACGATCAAATCCTACATATACTATTAAGTTTACTATTGTACACAGCTGTTAAGTGCTTTCTTAACACTTTTTTATTGGTAAATGACCCAATACTAAAATATTTTTTTAAATGTGCTCTGTTTTGTAGTATAACACATTTTGGCATTCACTTTAATATTCCTTATGTCTTAATGACCTGGAGCAGACTTTTGAGAAACACTTGTCTTAGTTGAATTTTTTAAAGTGCTTGGAGTTCAAAATGCTTTTTTAATCCTTCTGATAAAGAGTGGGATACATTCCTAAATTAGAATACTATTCTCTTTTTATTCTTGTGTTTTCCCTGATATTGTTTTTAATAGCAGAGCTGAACTCTTCCAGAACTGCATTGCTCTAAAGATCTTGTAAGTTTCTTTCTTTCCTCACTTCTCACACTCCATTACTAGAGGAATTAATCTTTTCAGTCACTTGCCTCATAATCCACAGCACAAGAATGTATCCATTTCTTTTACTTGGTGTTAATCTGAAGGCTCTACTCTTGATCTTAAGTCAAAGTGTATAGTAAGAATAAGGAGAAGCTTTTGTTGTCCTGATAGTAGAGGTCTGAATTAGGACTCCTGGGTTCCATAACAACTGAAATATCTGTTACAAAATACTTCCTATTTTATTTCCAGTGTTTTCCGTCACTTGTCTCCGACTCAGTACGTAATTAAGGCTAGATCCTATAAATGCATCCATGTGGATGTGTGCTTACATAGTGCCCCATTGAAGTTAGTAGTGGTGTGCCTACATTCAGTGAATCGAATCTAGGACTGAAAGGGACCCCCAGATCCCTTTCTGCAGTACTCCTTCCTAAGCAGTCATTTCCCATTTCCACTTGATTGTTCCTTACTAAGTGGAGTACTTTCATTTGTCCTTATTGAGTTTCATCCTATTTACTTCAAACTGTTTCTCCAGTTTGTCCAGATAATTTTCAATTTTAATCCTATCCTTTAAAGCACTTGCAATCCCTCCCAGCTTGGTATGATCTACAAACTTGATAAATGTACTCTCCATGCCATTTTCTAAATCATTTATGAAGATATTGAACAGAACTGGACCCACAACTGATACCTGCGGCACCCCACTTGATAGGCCCTTGCAGCTTGACTCTGAACCAATGGTAACTACTCTCTGGGAATGATTTTCCAACCAGTTATGCACCCACCTTATAGTAGCTCCATCTAGGTAGTATTTCCCTAGTTTGTTTATAATTGCACTATCTGACCCTTAAATTGTAGTCTCTGCAAAGCAGAAGTAATCTTTCAGGCACTGAAATTAGATTAGTGTTCTAAAGATTTTGTATTTTTATTAGCATGCATCTTCCTTTGTTTTAGAATGACTTTGAAGACAATGCAGAGTTGGAATCTAAGAACGGCATGACACAGGGAGACAAACTTCGTGCCTTAAAAAGTCAGAGACAGCCGCGATCTGCTACAACTGGAGCTCTTAGGTAATCCTCTTCTAACTTTTTGTATTATTAAATTCAGTGTGTACTAATTCTTTATGAAAAGCATATGCTTGTCTGTTTCTTTGTTTTATAATTCTGACACTTACAAGTTATGATATGTAGACCTTTTCATTTTTAGATCACTTTACAAACATTAATACTGCCAACTTTTCAGTGAGTTAAGTAGGCACTCAAATGTGGAATCTGAAACTGAGAGGTTAAATGACTCGCCTAAGACTACAGAAGTGGTTAGTCTTAGAGCTGGTATTAAGGGACCCCCAGTTGCTATGGTAATACACTAAACAACAAACAATAAATATTAATAATTATTACTCAAGTTTCTAGCTCTTAGTCCTGTGCTTAGTCCACCATATTACCACACCACTTTCTACCCACTATAAATGTTACATTTATACAGATTTGTTATTAGCTTTAAAGTTCACCTCTTTCTACCAGAAATAGTTTGCACAATCTTAAGCTTTCTTCTTCAAGGGTTCTTCAGACTTAGGTGTTTGTCAAGTTTGTTCATGCTGCCCTTCAAGATGGGTTAATGTTAGCAGTTGATATTGTTGATATTATCTGAACTGCATTTGTGGTAGCCAGATACTGCTTTGTGGTATAAAAGCTTTCATAACTGTAACAACTTACTGATGTAATTTAATATGTGCATACAGCATTGTAATTAAGCCAAGTAAAAGGCCAGTGCCCACATTTCAAGAAGGGGGAACTCATTTTAGCTAAAGGGGGGTAATCTAATGGCAGTTCTCTGTGAAGACCCAAAGTAGAAAATGGATTTCAGTTCCCCGTCTCCTGTTATGAACTGGGAGGTAGTACCCTTTCAACCTTGGAAAAATGATTTGTATTTCTCAACAGCAACCCCTAGGGAGTTGTGGCAAGCACCATACTAAGTGCCATGTATTGTCCCTCAGCAAGTGGGTAGGGTTGCTTCCTGATATGAGGACAGTTAAAGCAGATAAAAATGGTGGGAGTCCTAAAGGCTAAGAGAGATGCAGAATTGGAGAAACTTTAAAGAGGTAGTATTATCAAACAAGGATATTTAATTTAAAATAAAGCTTGCATTCCAAAGGAGAGAATTATTCTCTCTGCTACTGCAGCAGTAAAGAGATTGTTTTTTATTATGTCTGAGCCTTAATTAGTAATGCTAGAAGTATTCTAAGACAGAACTGAATATAATATTGTTCTATTCCTTTCCATGTCTGTATTTCTTTTCTTTGCTGCTGTTCACTAAAATAAACCTGTACCATCAGGCACCAAATGAAAATTTGATAAATGCAACTCAAAATCTAAAGTATCATTTGTTGTCATATTATAAATGTACACTTATTCACCATATAAAAGTTTACATTCCTGTGAAAATAATTAACAACATATTTGGTTCCAATTTTAAATTATTTATCTGTATTTCTCATAATGAGTTTTGAGTTCCATCTTGTAAAACAATAACTAAATGAAAGTCTTTAAGGATAACAGTTAAATGAAATGCCATTTCAAATGTAATCTTAATTACAAACACTTCAAGTCAAAATGCTTTGCTGTTGCTTAGTAACTGCACATAAAAAGAATGTTTAATATTTGGGTCCCTTTTTCATACTTTTGATTTCCCTTTATATTTTCCCCCTTCTGCTCAAAAATTTCTTATTTTTAGATATAATTGTAAAACATTGTCTATGCAAAAAAATTGAGGCTGAAGTCTGTATTTAAACATATTGTGCAGTTTCAAATAGAAGGATTTTAAAACTGAAGACATCATGAATAGTACTCCCCAAATTCAGAAGTAAATACATGAAAAATGAAGTTTGCAACTTTTCCACAGTAAGCTGACCAAAGACTTCCAGTCTTCTAACCTATTTTCAAGCTACCCTTAAAGATGAAGAAGGAATAGAGGTTTTATTTCTATCCTTTAGTTCATATACTATGAAGAGGAGGAGGACCATATAAATACCTACATAGTTGGCTTTTTATGACAGAATTTTCTTATGCACGTATGAAGCTGGTATTGTATGATAGATGGCAGCTGAGTGTAGGTTTGATGGTTGTAGTTGAAAAACAATGTTTCAGGAGTACAGTTTAAAAAATTACATATTTTTATGATGCATCTCACAATTTATATGAAGCATTTTCTACTTTATGTATGCTGCCCAAAATAATAACAATCCCCAAGTCAGAGTCTTTGTTCTTATATTTACTAAAAGATTGAAACTATGCTTTCATAATTTTTTGTGTGACAAGCTGCTTTAATTTCTTTAGGCTGGAAGATATGAAATTGCACACCAGATCAATATCACAACCTTTCAGGTATTTATTTTACTTAGTTAAACTTGTGAGAAAATGTTTAGTGCATTTAAATTTCATTTTTTTAAAAACGTCTGATCTTCTACTCTTTAACGTTTTAGAGCTTTGCCTTATCAGTTTGATTAATAGCAATTTGTCAGACTTCTGATATTGATATTAAAATCTATTTTAAGCACCCATTCAAGGGACAGAAAATAATTGGTTAATTTTCACAGTTAGTCTTCTAGTAATGGTGGAATAAAACTTTTTTAGTCTTATAACTGGGCCTTTCCTGAATAAAGTCTGCCTGTTGTGTAAAATGTATAGTAACTTTATGAAATTGATAAATGTCCTTTAGAGACTAGAAGGACACTACCTCACTTGCGACTTGGATCAGAGTTAAACATTTCTGCAAACCTTGTGCCACATTAAAGATAATACAATTTAGCATGAAAAGTGGTGTTAATATTAAGAACCATCTTAGAAATGGTACTACATTTAAAAAGATAAATTTGAATCATTATCTCCAGCAATTGGTTATTTCCATTGTGCATGTCACCTGGTATCTAAGATAGATAAATAGTACTATCTGGGAGATAGTATTTAGTAAACAAAAGAATATATTGGCTACAATTATCCCCAATGTGATTTTAAGAGACATGATTTTTGAGGGGGCTGATCTCCATTTCCCCTTGTTTACTTTTGTCTACCTCAAACTCCTTGGCATGCACTTAGAGGAGCTCCCACCTAAGACCATTATTACCATGCTATTTCAGTTGGAACCTTTTAAGAACACAAAGCACTTTCTTTCCCCAAGAGCTGAACATATTGATCTGCCAGCTATGGGAGTGAGAGGATATCACATTGCCACTAGACTTTAGGACTTACCCAAAAATATTTCTGAGAAACCTACTGCACCATATTTCTGTTATTATTAAGTCATATATTACTTAGTTATTAAAAGCCCAATCCTAGAAAAGTACTTTTTGACATAATTTAGAAGCGAGGGTGCACAGCATCTCACAGGACCAACCCCTAAAACACAAGAATGAAGAGCAGAATTTAGGAACAGAAATGAGCTTTATCAGCTGCAGGTGTTCAATCTAAAAGTGGCAGTTGCAACTTCAAAATTTTAGCATGCTCACGGAGCCTTTAACCAAGTAAGTGACTTAATACATTGAGGAAAAACTCAGTGGCTGTGACTAACAAACTGATGTGATCTTTTAGTATGTAAAAGTATCTTCATTCTGGTTCTTTAAACATACCCAGGGTTTATTAGCAAAAATGCATAAATAGGAGCAAATCAGAGTAAAGATTTTTTTAAAAAAAAATTGGGATTTTTCAAAACTGATGTGAATGAGAACTGCTGAGTATTTAGCACTTTTGAAAAATCGGGCCACCTACTTAAGTGCCTAAATATGGATTTAGAAGCCTAACTTTTGGCACCCACTCCTTAAAATCTTGGCTCAGATATTTAAAACAATTTATTATTTCTGAAGTTCACATTTGAGTTCACTTGCTCCCCATTAAAGCTTTATATTTTTTCAGATTGAATAGTTCAAGTAGTTCACAAGGGTCCATGTCTCCTCTGAAGTCCTCCAAGGTGGCAGCAGCTGTTTCACCATCTGCAAAGAGAATAAGCAGAAGTCCTACGTCCTTAGGATCTAATTTAAAAAGGTACATTTTCTTGTCCTTATGTGGCTTTTTGGGTAGTTTAAGGGAGGGTTATGTCACTTTCTCTAAAGTCACATGACAAATTATGAAATAGGCCATTTTTCTTGCTTTATACATTTGTCACTTATGTCTGAGATTGAATATAAATTAGTGGGGAACACTCCCAAAACTTTAATATCTATAAAATTCTGTTCATCTCAATAAAATATTAAGTGGGAGATCATATGTCCTTATTATGAACTTTTCATTTGTTGCCATTAGGTAACAGCTTAGATATTTCTGCTATTCTGAATAATGTAGAATGTTAAATGAAATTCACGGTGGTTCATGGATTTTGCCATAACCGCTGAACATAATGAATATTCATTCATTAAGATGAAATGAGATGTTCTGTTAGCCCAAGTGCTTTAGTGAACTAAAGGCATCCTATTTTTTACTCTCAGGATATTTATGAAATAGCTTTTTGGCTCCTTTATCTTGTCTTATATTACTACTTTTGATGTGTAATTTGTATAGAACTTGGATTTTCATTATTTCAGAGAGAAAATGAAGCTGTGTGCTACCACTGTTTATATGTGTCAGAATGGTCCTTGTCATTTTCCCCTAATGTCTTTAAATGTCTTGTGTGTGAAATCTTCACATGTATATACATTGCATGTATTTTTCCCACATGTTTTCCACTCAGCGTTTCCGTAAACTCCAGACTAGGCAGTTCTCTAGGGAACCTGTATGCCGCTTCAGATGATACAGAGAGCAAAATGATGTCATCATCCTCTAGGACAGGTTTTTCTGTAAACCATATCTCCAGTCATTTGAATGGCAGCTTGCAGCTGCCTACCAGAAATTACCATGAGCTGAACAACAACCTGTACAACAGAAGCAGCAATAATGGCACCAACCTCAACAGTCATGTCAGTTCTCATGGCACCAGGACAGATGACGACTACAGCACCTACCAACCCTCCTTTATGGGGTTAACTACTTCTCCGGCACGATACCTGAGTCGTTCAATTCCTGTAAGTTCACAGCCACAAAAGCCCTCTCAGGGACATGACAGAAGTTTATCTACCTTGCTTCTTCAGCCAAAACTATCACAAAAAAACTCTTAACAATCTCAGAGCAACTTTCTAATCCCTTATCTTTTACAATTTTCTGAATGCATATAGCATCTTTGTCTGTTTCTAATGTTCTTTCATCTGCTTCCTTTTTGCTTCTCCAGAATTTGGCTCAGAGAAAGATGTTATGAAAGTAGACAAATTATAAAAATACCTTTCATGATTACAGCTTCTGATTTGGAGTTTTTTTTCCTCTAGATTTTCCATTTCAAATCATTTGTGTTATAACTTTTAGTTTGAGAATTTCAATTTATGTAGTATAGGATCTTCCTGGATCATTAGATATCATAGGTGTCTTTATACAGTAATATTAGAGGAATTGCTTTGTATATATATACCACACTAATTGAAAATAAATATGCATAAAATGAATCAACTCAGTTCTTTAAATGGGCACTATTGAAAACTCATCATTTTCAAACACTGAGTTAGATAGTTCAAAGTAGTATGCCATACCCCAGAATCTACCTTCTATTTTTCATGGTTTTATAACCCTGTTTTCCTTTTGAGGGGGAGGGGGTGAGAGTGGGAGGAAAGGTAAATGCGTTTTCTCCTTTGTTGCTGTGTAAAAAACCCACACAGAGGTACACTGATATAGTAATGAACTCACTATACATTGTGAAATGTACAGAGTAAAGAAACAGGAAAAAATAGAGAAATTATTTCTCATCTTTCAGTTATGTTTGGTGGTGTTGGCAAAAATAGGAGGTTTTAAAACAAAAAAGAGAGAAATCACAAATGTGATTTTTTTTTAAGTTGACAAGTGTTCCTTTAAGATCCTATGAAAACTTCCAGAATAAATCATTCCAGTATGTGAAGTCATATTAAATATTAAAGAAGTACAATTTTAATATCTTACACCTGTGCCTTAAACACATAAGTGCTTTCATGTATGTGTAGGGATGGCTTCCTGAATCACGAGATAGGTCTCTCTAAAACTTGATATTTGCATCTTTTTGTATCAAAAATGTTTCCCAGTATTACTTCCGTTTTAGCAATTTTGTAGTCTTGGCCATCATATTCTGAGGTTCTTTCTCCTTGGAAAAAAAAATTGCTATTTCTAAGTGGAATGCATTAAAAGTAAATTTAGCATAACTTCAAATGCTAAAGAATATCAATCTGCAATAAAATGTATATTGGGGGGTGATTTGGTCTATATAACAGCCTGTATTGTTTTCTTTTTGTTTGTCTGTTTAAAAATAGTGACGTTTCATTTATTTGTTTTTTTCTTGTAGTTGTAATAAAATAGTTTTCAAATTAATTTGAAAATAGCAGTTATGCCATTCCTCCCTTCCTCCCCAATCTTGTTTTCAAATTAAGTTCAGTTTGTAAAACCACATATGGCAGCATTTTCTTGGGAGAGCGGGCATGGGGACAGTTGTCTTAGAACAGACAGTGCGCTACTCCTTTCCAATGGGACTCTAACTAAAAGAGGCATTGGTTGGTTTTGCATATCACTGTTTTTAAATAAATGTAACACCTCAGGAATAGTGCATGGCATCTCTTATACCATATAACACTTAGAAGCCCAGCTGGCATTATCACTGATGATCAATGTAAAGTTGATGAAGTACAACTACCAAGCTATGGTGCTATGTGAATGCCTATTTTCACTTTCAGGTGACATAAATAAGAAGTGGGCAGCATTATCTCCCGTAAACGTAAACACGCTTGTTTGTCTTAGCAATTGGCTGAACAAGAAGTAGGACTGAGTGGATTTGTAGGCTCTAAAATTTTACATTGTTTTGTTTTTGTGCAATTATGTAGCAAAAAAAAAATCTTCATTTGTAAGTTGCACTTCCATGATAGAGATTTCACTACAGTACTTGTCTGAAGTAAATTGAAAAACCCAATTTCTTTTGTTTATCTTTTTTACAGTGCAAATATTTGTAATCAAAAATAATAGTGAGCACTGGACACTTTGCATTCTGTGTTGTAATTGAAATCAATATATTTGAAAATATAGAACAACATCCAAAAATATTTATAATAAATTTCAATTGGTATTCTATTATTATTTAGCAGCGCAATTAAACCTGGGATTAATCACAATTAAATTTTTAATCGAGTTAATTTGTTTTGAGTTAATCGCTTAAGTTAACTGTGATTAATTGATAGCCCTACTAGGGACATTTTGAATTCCCTGGCATCCATGAATGTAACTTCCTTACACAGGATCCTCCTTAAAGGAAGATGTACCTAGATCTTGTTCTCAGATTACATATAAATGTAGGGTGTCTAATGATTAGCCATGATAATTGTCTAGAGTACAGCTTTTAGGACAGGATAATCTAGTAACACAGCACCACTTGCTCGGATTCATCCCTTGAGGCATGGACATTTAAAACAATAGAATAAGCCATGCAGCAAAATAAGGATCTTGAACTTGAAGGAGAGCCATGAATGTTCTTGGTTCTTTTTTTTTTAAGTCATCCTTGATGGATGTTCCCAGATATCTATATGTTATACGACTGAATTCACAGACAGGACAGTGCAGGGAAGAGGATAGGCATGTAGGTAGAGAGAATCAGGGCTCATATGACTGAAAGCTCCCCTGACTGACTGACTGCATTTGAGCATTTCAGGCAGGTACCTTGGAAGCAAATTAAATATTATTAAAAATAGCAATATTCATTCATCAGAACAATTAAAGTGTTAAAGAGTCAGTTTCCTGTAAACTTCTCACCTTAAGTAGTCTCATCATTTGGATGATATGAATGTTTTTCTCTTCTTTAGGGGAGGGATAGCTCAGTGGTTTGAGCATTGGCCTGCTAAACCCAGAGTTGTGAGTTCAATCCTTGAGGGGGCCACTTAGGGATCTGGGGCAAAAATCAGTAGTTGGTCCTGCTAATGAAGGCAGGGGGCTGGACTCGATGACCTTTCAAGGTCCCTTCGAGTTCTAGGAGATAGGGTATCTCCATTAATTTAATTATAAATTGGATTAAATTAAATTAAATTAAATTTATAATCTTGATTATTAGAAGTGTCCCTTAATACGTTTCTGACAGTTTTCCCTTTGTGCACCTGGCCTCAATAACACTCGTTCATGATCTTAAAATTCATAATGCTATACATGGGTTTAGCTCTGAAGGGCATTTGGAAGCTATAGATGATGCAGAATGCAGTGATTTATTTTAGTCAGATTGGCTTTGAACAATTTCGCCAGTATGCCAAAGACCCCAATGGCTTCCTGTTTGTTTCCAGCTGTATTTCAAGGTGTTGATATTGATCTTAGCCTTGTGTGGTTTGGGTCCTAACACATCTCTTCCCATGCACACCTGTAATTGTTGAGATCAGCTCACACACTCGTATCAACATCTGCTAAATTTGGAAATCTTGGAGCTGGAACGCCGGCATTTTCAGTGGAGAGCTTGCAATAGTTTTACACTGTACCAAGGTACAGTATAAAAGACTGTAACTATGGCTTTTCCCTAGTTACATTTGGACGGGACCATTTTTTGTATTTTTAACAGCTTCATTATGGGCTACAGTCCATTTTTTTTTTTATTCATCAGTTCTCATTGTTGTAAATAAAATGTATAAGCAACTGTGGTCATAGGCGCCGACTTCTGCTCCTGCTCAACCCTCATTCCTGCCACGACTCCACCCCTTCCATGAGGCCACACCCCTGCCCCGGCCCCGCCTCTTCCCCGCCTCCTCCCCTAAGCATACTACATTCCTGCTCCTCCCCCCTCCCTCCCGGAGCAGCCAAACAGCTGTTTGGCTGTGGCTGGGCGGGAAACATTGGGAGGTAGGTGGAGTAGCAGGGATGCGGCGTGCTCAGGGGAGGAAGTGGGCATGGGGGGAGGGGAGCTCGGCTGCTGGTGGGTGCAGAGTACCCACTAATTTTTCCCCATGGGTGCTCCAGCCTCAGAGCACCCATGGAGTCGGCGCCTATGATTGATAGATACATGCTTCCATTTGAAAAAATTTAAAGTAGTCATTTTGTTAGGTTTCATTTAGTCAAGGGGGAATTACTCCACATAGAATCATAGAATATCAGGGTTGGAAGGGACCTCAGGAGGTCATCTAGTCCAACCCTCTGCTCAAAGCAGGACCAATTCCCAACTAAATCATCCCAGCCAGGGCTTTGTCAAGCCTGACCTTAAAAACCTCTAAGGAAGGAGATTCCACCACCTCCCTAGGTAACCCATTCCAGTGCTTCACCACCCTCCTAGTGAAAAAGTTTTTCCTAATATCCAACCTAAACCTCCCCAACTGCAACTTGAGACCATTACTCCTTGTTCTGTCATCCACAAGGGTCTTTTCTATATGATGTCCCACTGGGTCAGTTTTTTCCCGATTGTTATTAATGGGGTATGTATTTAGCTATTTAGAAATTGACCATGTAACATGGTGTCATTGATCTATACGGTATTACTGTCACTGCAGATCTCTGCAGATCTATCTCCTTTTCTGTTTGGCTCAATAGCGGGGTAGATATAAAATAGCTGTTTGAGGCTCAACGCTGAAGTATTGCTGGTGGAATGGTGAAAATGTCAACAGGATTTCATTTATTTAGTGGTAGCCATATCCATTTAGAAAATATGCTATAGGCAGGTTGATATGCTTTGAATTCTGGTGTCATTTGATCAGAATTTGAACATGGAAGGTCAAAAATAGCTTTTTTCATTACCAACTATTCTGCAATGGCAGCCTTTCTTCTGACCATAGATACACCACAGTGATCCAAGTCTTTTTGACCTCTAGGCTGAGTTACTATAATGTGCTTAGTTGCAGGTTTCCGTTGAAAACTCTACTCATAGATTGCAGCTTCTGTAGAGCATGGCAGCACGACTGTTTAAGGAACTTGACCATCAAAGTTGATGCACTGTTCTATGATCTGTCACCCAATGAATGGTAATCATCAAGGTCTTAATATTTAAACTTCAAATTATAGTACTACTTTGCTTAAGGCACAGCCTGCAGTTAGGGTTGGAGTAGTTGAGAAGGAAGGATGCAGGTCCTTCCCTGTCCACTAATCCTGAAATGCTCTCCCCTGAATGTTTGTTTGCACTTCTGTTGTATCCTTCCAAGTGAGAATCAGTGTGGTTTTGTTTCCTATCCATTTATATATTATGAGATGGTGGTGGTTTTGTGTGGAAGGTGGATTATTGGTCTTATTATTTGGCCACTTTACTGTGTATTTTTCTTTATAATTTTTGTGTATTCTATAAACAAACACATGTGGGTTCACACACCCACAGAGACCTGTGGGCATGAGATGCTTTATAACTAATCATATATTCAACAACAACTTTGTCACTCTGTTTTCATTTTCTTGTGAAGTTATTCACAATATGATCGGTAAAACATCAATAATCATAAAACCAAGTGGTGCTATAAACTAGTAGAGGAATAACACATGCAGTGTAAAGAAGTCCAACCAGGAATTCTCAAAACTACAAAAGCTTAGAAAGTTCAGTGGAAAATGTGACATTCAAAAAGCAACAATTAACATCCCTTTTAGAATTACACTACATCCCTATAGCATTACACAGCCACTCATCTTCCACAAAAAGTGAACATTTTAACAAACAGAATAAAAACCTGCATTAGAGGACCACTGGAAATAAAAGCTAAACTATTGCTCCATCTTTAACCCAACTGTTTTGCAGCATATCATATCTTACATACAGCTGTGTAACATCATACATAATACTATTCTGGAATCTTGTGCATTACCTAGACACAAATAAGAAAGGAGCACCAGCTGTAATGTAATTTCTTCGCCTATTTTGATTAGTATCATACTCCTGTTGTTAATATCTAGCTTTTAGTCTTATTACTGGGGTTCAAAAATGGCTTTAACAGGGGAAGACTTTCACTTCAGAAGGAAAATTTAGGCACAGGTGAATAAAATAGCTGAGAAAGGAGAGGTAATTGAATAACTGACCCAAAAATGGTAGCAGGTGCTCTCAGCCAGTCAGCTGTTTTTCATTTTCTGAGAGAGTGAGAACCCAAAAGAGAAAGGTGAACTGCCATAATGGAGCAGGGTTGCCTTGGCTTAGATCAGAGGTCTTCAATCTGTGGGCCATGTACCCATAAAGGGGGCATGGAGTAACATTTGGGGGGCATAGCTGGGGCCTAGCCCAGTCCCCACAGAGGGCAGGGAGGGAGCGCTGCACAGATCCACTCCTGGCCCCGGCTGCTGACCCCACACCCAGGGTCCTGGCTGCCTGCCCGGCCACAGCTGCAGACTTCAGCCCCCAGCCAAGGGTCCGTTCCCACCCCCAGCTCTGTCCCCAGCCTCAGCCCCTTTACTCTTGTCCATGTCTCCTCCTCCCCCTCCCCATCCCACACCTCCACCCCTGGAGCCAATACTTGGCTGCATTGGAGGGGGCAGACGGGGTGAGAGGGGGTGTGAGGTAAAAAGTTTAGATAAAGGAGATAGAGATCTCCTTGGCTTAGATAAAGGAGATAGAGATCAGAGGGGAGAGAGGAGAAATGTCTACTTTAATTTGCTTGTGATCATGAAAACCAGATGACTGAGCACTGGTCTAAATAGAATTTATGTAGGTAGTCTAGGAAGTTGCTCGGTGAGACAGAGAGAGCCTTTGAATAAACGGAGTCATGTTGTCTAGGATATGTAATTGTCCTGTTTTAAAACACTCAATCTTTTGTCTCCCCATCAGACACCTATATGACTCAGTAATGTCCTCTCACCAAGAATGATGTAATCTTCCAATAGTTCATGTTCTAACTATCATTCACTGGTTAGGAACAGAGATTGTACACAGTCAAATATGATGTGTACCGTTTAAGTGCAAAAGCTGTAATCCTCTCAATAATGTCTAGTTGGCTGTGAATAGAGTTTTTTCATAGTTCCTGTAAATCGGAAGCAATGAAGGAAAATACTTAAACTAATATAGGTAGAAATATGCATACAGCTTTTGCATCGTAACAAAACATCAGTTGCTTATGATTTTTTTTAACCTGTGAAATAGCAGTAATTTGTCTGATTTCAGTGCAATGGCCTAATAGCTTTAAGTATGGTTGTAGTCAAAAAAGTGATCGTGAAAATGTCACCTTCCTACACAACAGATAAGTTTGCTACCTGTATTCAAAGTCACATTGGCATACTTTTCTGAGTAAAATGTGGGTTTTTTTACTACTTGTACTCTTGCCAGCCCTGCATAACTGTCACAAACACAAGGTAGAGAGCTGAATTCTCTTCTGGCTTATGAATCATCAGATGGATTGTCATCTGAGTTACTGTTGCAGAAAGAGGCCAGAAGAGACCATTAGATGATGATCTGATTTGACCTCCTGCATATCCCTGTAATCCAGGTGTTCTCAAACTAGGGCTCGGGACCCCTCAGGGGGTCGCAAAGTTATTACATGGGGGGTTGCAAGCTGTCAGCTTCCACCCCAAACCCCGCTTTGCATCCAGCATTATTAATGGTGTTAAATATATAAAAGTATTTTTAATTTATGGAGGGGGGGGTCACACTCAGGCTTGCTATGTGAAAGAGGTCACCAGTACAAAAGTTTGAGAACCACTGCTGTAACCCCTGTATTGAGCTAAATAACTTGTGTTTGACTGAAGCATGAGTTCCAGAAAGGCATACAGTTTTGATTTTAAGATATTGAGAGATGGAGAATCCACCACTTCCTTTGGTAGTTTGTTTCACTGGTTAATCACCCTCATTATTAAAAATGTATGCCAAATTCAAACTGGAAATCTATCTGCCTTCAGCTTCCAGCCACTGTTTTTTGTTCTGTTTTTCTCCACTAAATTAAAGTGTCTTTTAGTACCCAGTATTTTTTACCTGTGGAGGTACTTACGTGCTGTAATCAAGTCCTCTCTCAATCTTCTTTTTGATAATCTAAATAGATTGATCTGTTTAAGTCTCTCACTATAATATAAGGCATTTTCTCCAGCCTTCCGCTTGTTTTATGGGTATTTTCTGGACTCTCTCCAAGTTTTTAACATCCTTTATAAAATGTGGATACCAGAACTATACACATTATTCCAGCATCAGTCTCTCCAATGTCATATAGAGGTAAAATTATCTCCTTACTCCCTACTTACTCACTACTCCCCTCTTAATACATTCACGGATCACATTAGCTCTTTTTGCTACATTTCACTGAAAGCTAACGTTGAATTGCTTGTCCACTATGACCCCTACATCTTTGTCAGAATCGCTGCTTTCCACGATTCAGGCCCCACTTCCTTGTTCCTAGGTGTATAGTTTTTTGCATTTGGCTGTATTAAAACACCTTTTATTTAATGGGTCCAGTTTAACAAGCAATCTGTATCGCTCTGTGTCCTATTATCATCCACAACTATTCTACCAATCTGAGTCGTTTAAAATCACGGTTGATAAAATTTGCAAAGTTACTTCCAAATGATGGATTAAAAGGTTGAATAGCATCAGGCCTGTTATACTGATTCCTGTGGAATCCCACTTGAAACATCCCCATTCAGTGATGATTCCCCATTGTTAGCTGCTTCTGAGAACTGTTAGCCAGTTCTTAATCCATTTGACGTGTGCTTTATTGCTATTGTAAAGTGCTAATTTATAATCAGATACTAAGTCAAATGCCTTTCAGAAGTGAAAATATGTTATAGCTGTGTTTTTTATTTTTATCAACTAAATTTGTAATCCCACCAAATAATGAAATTTGTTTGACAAGGTCTGTTTTCCATACTGGCTGACATTAAATATATTACTTTCCTGTAATTCTATATCCGTTTAATCCAGAGCTGGGCAAACTACGACCCGCGGGACTGTCCTGCCCGGCCCTTGAGCTCCCGGATGGGGAGGCTAGCCCCCGACCCCTCCCCTGTTGTCCCCTCTCCCCCGCAGCCACAGCGCACCACGCTGCCAGCGCTCTGGCCCGCCGCTCCTGCCGGGCAGCGAGGACGGCGGGGCTGTGAGCTCCTGCTGCTCTGAGCAGCATGGTGAGGGGATTGGATAAGGGGCAGGAAGTCCCGGGGGGGGGGGGGACAGTCAGGGGACAGGGAGCAGGGGGGCGGTTGGATAGGCATGGGAGTCCCGGGGGGCCTGTCAGGGGGGCGGGGATATGGATAGAGGATAGGGAGCAGGGGGGTTGGATGGGGGAGATTCCAGGGGACTGTCGGGCCGGGGGGGCCCGGGAGGGGGCGGTTAGGGGACAAGGAGCAGGGGGGTTGGATGGGTCGGGAGTTCTGAGGGAGGCAGTCAGGGGGCAGGAAGTGGAAGGGGGCAGATAGGGGGCGGGGGTCAGGCTGTTTGGGGAGGCATAGCCTTCCCTACCTGGCCCTCCATATAGTTTGGCAACCCTGATGTGGCCCTCAGGCCAAAAAGTTTGCCCACCCCTGTTTAATCCCATATCAGATATTCCATTATTTTGTCCTCTTGCCTGGTTTAATATTTGCACAACTTCAGCACTCTTCCAGTCTGCTGAAATTTCCCTAGTATTTCAAGATTTATTAAAAAATTAACACCAGTGAGCAAAAGATCTCCTCAGCCAACTGTTCTAGGTCTCTTGGTTGCAAATTATCCAGGCCTGCTAATTTTTAAAATGTTTATTCCTGTTAGATGTGGTTTAAAATCCTCCTTGGTTACTGATGGACTGGAAACTACTTCATCATCCTCTTGTGATACCAATACATTGTTTTGCTTCTTTCCAAATACAGAACAGAAATATTTATTGAATGCTTCTGCCTTTTTCTGCATCTTTAATAAGTTTTACTACCTCCATCTACTAAAAGTACTTACTAGTTATAATACCTTGCTTGGATTTTTTCCCCTAGTATCTTCCAAAAAGAAACACACTCCTCCATCTTATTTTTCTTAGCCTTACAGCTATTGATTTTTCCCGGATGTCTTCAAAATCCCTTATCAATTTTTTAAATTTCATAGCAATCTGTAGAAATTAGAGGTTGTCTGTTTCCCTTTTTTCCATTTGTCATGTGTTGTATATGATACATTAACCATGCATCAGATCACACCAGAATGCCAAGAGAAAGCTCCCATGAGATCTTTGATTTTCAAATTGCAGAGTGAGTTTGCCACACTAGTAATTAGAATAAATATCCTTTTACTTGTAAATTTACAACATACTGGATATGGAGTCACTGAAAGATAAGAAACAGTTCAGTTATATTTTATGGAGTTATTCTCGGAATCCCACCACAGTGGGATAAGATTTTTGTTTCCACGTTTTTCAAATTGTCTTTACAATACCAAGAAAACTGTTTGGTTCGGTGGCACTCGGCACCCCCATTATACAAATTGTTCCAGCAACCCTAGCTTGACTTGAAGCACATCAGTAATTCCATTGAAGCCAGTACAACTATTTGCAACTTTAATGTTATTCTTTTAGGTGCTTTGCTGGATCAGGCCTTTTGTGAGTAACTAGCAGGTTGTCCATACAGTGCCTTAGTACGTACCAGTGGGGTGTAAATTGTAATGTGCACCAGCATGTCGTGCATTAACTGGCCCACGTGGACCCTGCTGGTGCACACTAAAAGTTCTCTAGTGTGCATTAATGTAGTACCATTTGAAACAGGACTATGTGAATGCATATTAGGGAACTTTTAGAGCTCATGAGCAGAATCCACATGGGCCAGTTAGTGCAGAACACACTGGTGTGCATTAGAAATTACACCCCTGCTAGTGTGAATGAAGGCCACTAGGCAATATGTAGACAAGTCCTAGTCTGATGATTAGTTGCATCAGACCACACCAGGATGCCATAAGAAAGCGCGCATGAGATCTTATGCATATCCTTTTTAAAATTATCCCTTTTAACTTAGTTTACTTATTTTTATTACTCAATTTACTTTTACTGCCTCATCATGTTCATTAGGAAAAACACTTTTATTACTAATTCTTTATTTTTCACATTTTAAATTCTGCTTGTCTTCAAAATAGACCATTTCTGAGTTTTGTCAAAGCCAGATAACTCCAATGTGGATTCAGGGACTTTAAAAAAAAATAGTATTCAAATTCAGTATGGTAGGTCATACTTACAGTGCACATGTACACAGATCTAAAATGTAAACTGAAGTAGTGAAAAAAGATAAACGTAATCCACAGGCAGTAAAACAAGGATTATATTATGGGATCCAAAACTTTAGGTAGATAATTTTTCAGTGAACCCAGCAAAAAAGGTTTTAAAAAAATTTGCTACAACTGTGATTTCAATCATGGAGGGGGGGAAATGCTTTACTTTTGTATAAATAAAAAGAAATGAAATAAAAATTTCAAGTAAATAAAACTAAACAAAGCCATTGCACCTTTCAGCAATTTAGTTGTAATTATAGCTACCATTGTAACTTAACAAGCTTTTAATAGGAAATGTATTGGGGATAATAGCAACAAGGTTGAATCTGCAAAGAAATGAAAAGCTTGTTATCGTATCCAAATGATAATGTATGTGAGAGGAAATTACCATTTTTTAAATCCAGTTTAGTTCTTCACTGTACTTAGAAAATGATTTAGAACAGTGGGAGGAAGATCTTTTATTGCTATTAAGTAGAAATGATGAGGAGGTGGTGATGCTGAAAACAGCAGTGTACATCACAAGACAGAAACTCCTACCCATCTGTGACAAGCATTTAAAAGACAAACCAAAACAAGCGATCAGTGTTTGAATCTCTCTGTACATGTGCTATATACATATTTGTTCTTCTTTTTGATATGTTGCTATGGATTTTTATCTTTCACATTCTGATGTTCCATGTTGTGCTAAAGCATAGATCTTCTAATATCAAGAATTGCGGCTTGAATCCCAGAATTAAAATGTTACTTAAATTGTGATTCCAGAATCATGAGTTACAATTTACTATTAAGTAATGATGTGCTGTTCTTAGTTCTTTGAGTCAACTAATGGCCCATTCCTAATTGCTGTCTGGTCATCGTGCACCTATCAAAAGCTAAAGAATCATCCATTATTATGAAATGCCAAATTATATAGAATTAATTTTTAAGCTTTCAAGTTTGTGATGGAAGTTGTTAGTCAGCTCTACTTTGAATTTAGTCTTTAAGAGATCACTACAAGAACTTTACCATTCCACAGGGACTACATTTCAGTCAATAAAATGTTCTTTTAATAAAATGGTCTTAAAATAGCTTTGAGACCAGCAGAAATCTTAAGTTTTCATGGATAAACAGAAATAGACACCTTCAACATCAAGTACGTACAGTAAAGGATTGCCTCACGGACTCTCTTAACAGTGCCGCTAATCTGGCACAATTGCCAGAAAAAATAGCATGGTGCAGGTTTTCAATTCCATTGTGGTCCTAACATCTGTAGTAAAGTAGTTTGCTATTTTAAAGACCTCTTTCTGTCTTTTCTTTCTTTTACAATTACCTGTCTTTATATATTTATTCTCATATATAAAGACACAGTTCCT